CTGGAGGTTCCCCCCCCCCCCTGTTTCATTTTGTATTTATACTCTAGTGACGCTAAATCTGTGGCGAAACCTTGATCCCGCAAAATGGTCATGGGAGCACTGATTTTAATTATACTATTGAATTTATCTTCTTTTTATCTTCATTTGTTTCAATTATAAATTTAAAGGGAGGGCCTCCCCTTTATTCCGTCACTGGCTATAATATGATACAGTCAATGTCAGAGACACATTTTGCTGTTATGTTCCCGGACCAACGAAGCTCTTTTGGGTCAGGGTGTTAGACCGAGGACGCTATGGATAGGGTACCTCCGCACGAGAGCGCATAGGCGATACGCCACTGAGCTCGCCTGTCTTTTGTCAAGACCATTATTAACCATAGGCGTAGATCCCGGGGGGATGTGGGATATATCCCCCAATATTTGACAAAGGGGGGATGGTCCATTGTATCATCCCCCCCCCCCAATATTTTGACTATGTATGGGATAAAATGGAGCTTTACACACTTCAAAAGACTGTCACAGAAATAATTTACAATGTCTTATGCGCTTACAAAGATGAAAATTAGCATAATGTATTAATGTTGATAACAAAATTATTTTATCTGGTACCAATCTAAGCTCTTCTTTCCTTATATGTTAGATGTGCTTGCAAAGCAAGCCACATTTTCACACGGAAGGGTGTGTACGACATCAGTAATTTTATGTCAATTCCAAGAATTCAATCATCACCCCCCCCCCCATGAAAAATACTTTTCTACGCCACTGTTATTAACTGTAATCGCCGATAACGTGTGATGACAAGGTGTGATGGAGGTAAAACATTTATGCAATGCTTTTTTAAACTTGATAACTAAAACTAATGTTTTCAAAATTCATACCAGATACAGTGACCCGAACCATGTTGTTAATTATGAATGAATAGTTTGAGGGTAACTCTATTATTAAACTTACTCTTTGGCATTCTGATGTTTAAGTATATTTTTAATATTCAAATGTAGTTTAAGTGTTTGTCGTACACATACCGTTTATTGCCGGTGAAAACAGAATTACCATGTATTTAATTCGAATTCAGACCTGTTACCCTGAGGTTATGGACCAACAGGTCCTTTGCAGAATGTACCTACACGTAAACGTAAACACCGCTATGCCTTTACCTGAGGTAGGTATTTATTCCACTCTACCCTACAAGGAAGCAATATGAAGTTGTGGCTTCGATAATACAGTCATATATGTTCGCCTTCAAATTCTAACATTCTGATGTGCAATTAGGATACCACGATATTGCATAAAATGAATGCCTATTGCATCTTACTGACGTTAGGTAGACCAACCGATGGGCTATATAATCTCATCCTGTATATTTGTCAAGTATACCGAAGCATGTTAGAATCTGGAATTAGCTTTTCATTGATATTATAGTGCTTTTAAATTCCAATACTTACTTTGAGATCTTCGTTTATGTTTTCTGGGTCTCTGTCTACCATGTCAATCGTGATATCATCGGGAATAATCAGCTCATTGCTAGAACTTTTCTCCTTTTTCTGCTTTTTTTTAGTCTTTTCTGACTTACTTTTCGACCCAGATGCATCCTGGTTTGAGTAGTCAGGAGATGTTTTTTCATCAGCCATTTTCACTTCAATCTAACATGACCCTGGTAAAAGCTGTATTAAACTGAGGTCTCTCTGAGGTCTAAATCTAATCAGTTGGTCAACATACTGTACCTGGGGTTAATAGCGATAAAACATATTTACTTTGGTTTGTTATCTTTATTCACATGGCATTATTGTTTTACCAGAATGCAGTTCGAATTGAGATGTGCGTGAGTATTGCATGCTTACACTATATTACGGGGCGCCGCTTGGGACATTATGTTTTTAAAAAGGCATTCGTTGTTGCACACAATTATTTCTGTAATAACAGAATTATATCTGTATAACCATGGAGGAATTATTTTAAACTAATTCCTCCATGGTATTACTATTCTGTAAACAGAATTAATTCTGTGTTAATTTTGTGTTAACAGAAAAATCATGTACAGCAAAATTATATCTGTATAACTATGTGTATAGAATTAATTGTTGGTAATTTAGCGTTAACAGAAATAATTATGTACCACAAAATTATTACTGTCAAAATATTCTGTGTATAGAATTAATTCTTTTTAAACAGAAATAATTATGTACTATATAATTTTTCCGTAAATGTTGTGCTAACAGAAAAAAAAATCTGTATCCACAGAATTATTTTCTGTCACCACAATTTTTTTTATTTTGTTCTAACAAAATGTTTTCTGTTCTTACGGTGTAGAATGTATGTAAAGTCTATGGAAGTTAGTAGGTGGATTTTCCATCAAATATCCAATAGAATCATCAATGTCCAATACTACCAAAAGTCTTTAGAGACTAAGCAATTTCGCTGATTTTCATCATTTCATCATATATATATATATATGAAAGTAAATATAGAGCAATACAAGATATTTACCAAAACACAACTTATAGTTACCAACCGTCTCGCATCGTGCGGGACGGTCCCGCATGTCAAAGTGATTTTGGATGAAACACGCATTTTGCAGAAACACATGCGTGATCATAAATTTGTCACGCATTTAGCACAGGTCTATGCGTGATAACGAATTTATCACGAATTTAAGGGAAATGTATTTGAAATTAGAAGAAATTGGTTTTATTAAAAATATAAAAACGGTCATGCAGTATCTTGAGTCATTAGACAGTATTTTCGTGAATATAGTATGTAATGTCCATTATTTAGTTTCTGCCTTTTGTGAATGTTTCTTGAGTTGCAAACTTGATCAGTTTGTTTTTGTTCTACCTTTACTCTAGTTTGCATAGTAGCCAGGTGCTCTCTTTTATTAGCCATTCTTTGTTTCATTACCAGTGCAGTTCAGTCATTAACACAGTGCAGAGCACACCTACTGTAGGTAGTGCAGTGATATTATTAGGGTTAGTATGTGCTAGTAAATGAAGGAAGCTCAACATTATGGTGAGTTAATTTGATATTGTTATTTGCTGTTTAATTTTGTCTAGATTTTGTTCAGTTAATGTGTATTAGAATGGATATCACAATTTATTTATGCATATAACAGGATGGTGAAATTACTTAGGCTTTATTGTTGATTGCCAATCTGTGTTTATGACAGGCTAAAACTGTATGTTGCTTTTATATGTTGTTAATAATTTTGATTGTTTTAAATTATTTTGTTAATGATTTCAGTAAATCGGAAAATTAGAAATTTACGGAACTTGTTCATCTATTGAGGAAATAGTGGAAATTTGGTGGAATAAAAGACTGAACCGAATTTGCATTTTAGAGCTTTATTGCTAGTACATTTATTTACATAAGGAGCTCAATATTAAGATATCAGATACTTCAAGGAAATCCGGACAAGGTCGGACTAGGAAGTTGGTTGAAAATGGTGCTGCTTATCAACAGGATCGACTGGCGAAGGAAGCCAAGGATGCATGGAGACGTTTGAAAAAAGTATCAGATGTTCTGAAGAGGGGACTCGATGATGTTTTGAATAGGTCCACTCTACGTAGTATGCATCAAGATTGGCTGAATGAGTATTCTGCATTCTTGAAGGTGAATGATGACTTGTGTCATTTGTTAACACCTGCGGAGTTAAGCAGCTATGAATCTGAACTCGAGAAGTTTACTATATGGATTGATAATCTCAAGTGTAGGATTGAGGAACGTTTGTGTGCTCCTAAACGTGAAGTTCAAATGTCACTTAAGTCTGGGAAGTCAAAATTATCAGTTAGTTCATCTGTAGCATCGTCTATACTAAAGGAAGAACAAACAAGGGCAGAGTTCTTGACGAGGCAGAAGACACTAAAACAAAAGCGTTTGTTGGAGCAAGAGGAGTTTAGACTTAAACAATTGAAGGAGGAGCAGGCAATTAGAGAGGAAATGGATGTAGCCAATGCCAGATTTAAATTGTGGGAGGATTTGAATGTAGCGGACATGGTGGTAGGGTTTCTGAATTTGAATTGGATTCTGCCGAAGGGTTGGTTGGTGATGCCTACCGTCGTCATGTTACCGATATTCCATTTTCAGAGGAAATTGATGTTCCACTAATGGCCCCAGGAATTGCAGTAGCTGCTACCCCACAAGTTACTCAACCTGACGCTGCTCCTCAAGTTATTCAACCGATTGTTGTACCTGACAATGTGTCCGCTACTCCGCTTGTTAGTTAAAATATTTGGCCTCATGTAGTAAATGCATTTCCAGAAGGAATTGATGCTCAGCTTATTGATCAACCTGAATTACATGCAGTGTCAAGTAATCATCCACCTGCTGCTCCATCTGTTGATCAACGTGCTACTACGGCTTTGTTGAACTTCCAGAAGCCTAGATTGGCTACGAAAATATTTGCCGGCGATCCGATGACTTATACTCAATTTGTTAGGCAATTTAAATCGAGAATTGACAGAATAATGCTGAAAACATCTATTATTTGGAGCAATTTACCAGTGGTAAAGCCAACAGGATAGTATCCGGATTCGCTCACCTGGATGCTGATGTAGGATACCCTGCTGCTATGAAAGAACTCAGAGCAAGATTTGGTGATCCTGAAGTAATAGCTAATGCCTATGTAAAAAAGGTATTATCCTGGCCTCAAGTGCGGGCTGATGATCCCCATGCGTTAGACGAATTATCCATTCTGCTCATCGAATGTGAAACTGCAACACAAAGCATTGGAAGATTCGGGGTATTGGAGTTTGCAGAGAACCTCAAGATAATCATCAGCAAACTACTTTATAGTCTGCAGGAGAGATGGGAACTGTGGTTTTCAACATGAAAAGATACAGTCTACGTGTTGGATTTAAGCAACTTGTGGAATGTGTGAGCATTGAAGCTAGAAAGGCTAACGACCCCGTGTTTGGTAAAGCTCAACTAGCTCGTTATTCCAAGGCAAAATTACCATCAAAAAGTAAGGTGTCTGCAGCGAATGTTGAAGTGTTGTTATTGTCAAAGCAAGCATCGCCTAGACGAGTGTCCGGAACTAAAAAAGATGTCAGTTCAACAGATATGAATTCTTGAAAAGTAAAGGTGTTTGATTTTTATGTTTCAACATTGGACACATCAAGCCAAAGTGTCCAGCTAGATCAACTACCATGTGTGCCAAGTGCAAGGGTAAACATAACACTCTCCTTCATCGAGAGAAAAAGGAAGTTATTGAAAAGACGAGTGATAATGATGCTGTGACAGGCAGTAGTTGTATGTCAGCTAATAAGAGAAACCATTGTTCTTTGCCCATTATACCAGTCCGAGTTAGCATTGGCCGGAAGTGTGTTACCTGTTATGATTTTATGGACCAAGGGAGTAATGTGTCATTTTGTAGCCAAAAGCTCCTGTCGCTTCTGAATTTAAAGGGGACAAGTACATCAATTAACTTGGACACTATTTCAGATTCCCGTAATTTTACTACCCGTATTATTAAAGGTTTGCATGTTTCCAGCTTAGAAGGAAACCTCAGAATCAAGTTACCACCTGTGTACTCTACGAATGTTCTTCCAGTTGCTACTGAGCACATCCCTATAATGAAGGAGACTAGAATGTGGGACCACCACAAAGATGTGTCGTTACCATCCCTCGGAGACCTATCCACAGTTGACATTCTCAATGGGAACAATGTTGCTGATGCTTATTCTCCAATTGAACTCAGAACCGGTCCAAGTGGTTCACATTTTGCAACTAAAACTCTCCTTGGATGGATACCATGGTGTGTGACGAAAGATGTAGCCACGGGTGCCACTACCAACTTCATAAATGTAGCTGATGTTGCATTGGAACGCATGTACCAAGAAAGTATACAGTATGATTTCCCAGAGAAGACAATCAATGACAAGAGGGAGTGGTTAGTGGAGGACAAGAAGTTCATCAGAGTTGCAAAAGATGGAAAAATGTTAAAAGACAACCATTATGAATTGCCGTTGCCACTTAAGGACGATAATGTCAAGTTACCATGTAATAAATTTCAAGCCATGATGTGGTATGTACCACACTCTGCCCTCTTCAGCGATGTCGTCTACAAGAACCCGTTCTGCATGACCATTGGAAATCGTTTTGAACATAAAGTCGTCGTATTCTTTCTTTAATTCTGGATTATTCTTAAGTTTCTGACTTGAAGTCTTGAGTCGCTGATGGGCTATTTTAGACGTGGGGCGGGGGGTACTTTGTGGTAGTCTTGGGGTTCTCTTAGTTTCGGATATTTTTTCTAGATGCTGAGAAATACACTTACGTGCGTTACGAGACTTCTATTGATGAATGAATACACAATGAATTAATAGTCCTCCCCCATTTACCATGGACATTAATATTGCGATGATGAAGATGATGATGAAGATGATCTGATGATGATAAGGAGGAGGAGGAGGCATCGTAGCAGGTGACCACAGGCTCTAATGCAAGGTTAATTAACTGGCGCTTTGATATAAGTGTCAACCGAGGCCCATATCCCGAGTTCGTCGTCACATTTTCACAACACAACATAAGGAAGAACACGTTGTCACCTACAAAGTTCAGACCCATATACATTTATATTTCCTTATGCTTAAACCAAAAGGAAGTCAGCTCTATATCCAAATTTCAGGAAATTATACGTTTTATGCATGCACCGACGTAGAAATTTTGTTTTATGTTGTTTGTTGAATGGTCTTCTTTAAAAATATTACAGTCCATTATGAACACATCATAAGGAAGTTCATTCTTTAAATGTTTAATAGATAGTACAGAGAAGTATGATTGTTTATCAAAATCATTATACACATGTTAAATCCAAAATCTAAAAAAATAAATAAGTAAAAAAATAATAACGTTTTCAGTGCACGCGCCGACGTGGAAGGATTAACCTAATAACCTTGTTCTAAAATGTGCGGTTCTAAAATTAATCTTATGACCACAACTTTTAAGTTGTAACTTTAGGAAAAACAATTAAGCATTTTTATTCTTCCGCCACCGGCTGGGAAAGTAATTAAATATGCATAAATGTCTTGTGTGATTGGTTGATTGCAAACATTTCAATGCACAGTGGTTTGACGGTAATAATAATAATTTCATATTTCAAAAAATTGTTTGGAGAATATGATCACGTTCCATGATAGATTACATCCACAGGGTGCCCCTAAGCCAAAATTTCAAAAATTGAATAATTTGCGTTTTTGCGAATCACGACAGACTGAGTAGATTAGGCCTATCGGATAAAATGTAAAAATTTAAGATTTTATTTTTAAATCACAGAAAATCACAAATTTATATTCAGTACGGTACATTCTCTACTGTCTTGGAAATGTGGACCTTATCAATTGGTTGGGTGCATTATACACACTCTTCGTAACACCCTACCTACTGGATATACGGGCCTGGAAACTTTACATTTTATCTGCCAATAAATACAGTATTATACGCTTATTAGATATCTTTTCAACTTCTCAGTATTTTTTTTTTCCACTTCCAACGCTGTTGATTTGAAATTTACATACCATTCACGTCGTCGTTGCTCTTCTTCAGATTTTGTGTTCATTTTCAGTCTCTCAGTGCTCGGTGGTCATTTTTGACTTTCGTTTTAGATGTACTGTATAAATGCGTTCGTAAGTTTTAAGTTCTAGGTCTTCTACTAACTAACTCCATTAAAGACTTCGTCAAAATAATTAAATAATAATTCATTAATCAAAAAGTAATAATTAGAATAATATGTTTTCGCTTTGGTGTAATTTTGGAATAACAAAATATAATAAAATTATATATGCCTTTCAATAAGGTTATAAGAATCAACGCACAAGTATAACCTATCATCCCTGTGATTGATTGTGTCATACATTGTTACATAAATAATAATAATAATAATAAGAATAAGAATAAGAATAAGAATAAGAATAAGAATAAGAATAAGAATAAGAATAAGAATAATAAGAATAATAAGAATAATAATAATAATAATAATAATACTCAACAGTGTACCGTACGTTATCGCGCAGCCGATTTAATTACAGACAATGCAAAAAGTTTGTTTTGTCTATATATTTTTGTGTTTGGTTTAGGTAGGCGGCATTTCTGACAGAAAGAGATGGAATTCGCCAGAAAACCAGTCACTGCTATCACTTTATATTGGCGAACGGTGCGAAGAGGTCTGGATACGCGCTTGCCTCTAGGTGCCCGGAATTTCACTCTCATACTTTACAACAATACAATACAACAATTATTTTCTAAATACTATTTAAGGGGGGTGCGACCGTACCCTCTGCAACCCCTCTGCATCCGCCCCAGTGAGGTAATAAAGTTTATGATTATGGCACCTAGTAGGTTGGAAATGGCACTCTCAGACTTAAATTTGAATTTTCTTCACTTTTAAATTTGGAAAAATTTAGGGAATCGGCCATTGAAATTGCAATTGCAGTTTGCTTCAATCTGCCAATGAAATACTCATATGAAAGGTTTTTCAATTTATCCTGGTAAGCATAATATGCCCGCTTATATATTTCGTGCAAACTGACATTCATAAAATCAGGGTTAAGATTTTAATAGAGAGTAATTTAACTACAGTAAACAGTAACAGAAAATAAAACATAGTAAGATTTATATAAGGTCCTATATAATTAAATTATTCTCTATTCTACTGAGTAGCTTGTGTCGTTTTTGAACCATGAAAAACAAATTAGAAACTTCAAGCAGTCACTCAAATTTAGTCTCTTTGCATGTACAGTACATTTAAAATCAATCAAAAGGTGTTTTTTTCTTTTCTCCTCTTTTTAAATTTCACTCTTGTGCAAGTGTTATTGTGACTACACTATTGTGAGTAGAAATACTACCGTCTAATTTATGATTAAACAGGACTAGGGACACAGAAAGCACACAAAACATTAGTTAGCATTTTTATTTCACAAACATAAAGGTGATTTACCTATTTACCATTATCATGACGTGATAGTGAGATTGCGTCAACGTAACATCGGAGTTCGTAAACTTGTGGTATTATAAATAAGCCGAAATAGAGACTTATCCGTGTCCGAAACAAAATTATTGTTTAATAATGGCTATATGAAATTCAATTGAATACAATTTTTGAAATTAGGAAAGACAGGAATCTAATGCAGGTAATATTAAACACTACGGGTCTTAATAATATACAAAAGGGAATAAATCATGTATAGTATAAATTGTGCACTTCTGAGTTTGTAAAAATGTTGTCCTAAGGTTTACACGCTTCCAATTTTAACAACGTATAGTACATTGTTTTACGGAAGCTTAAATTGACCTTTCGAGTTTCCAAGATAATTATCTTAGAGATCTTGGAATAAAAAATAACTTATCTTGGAAAGACGGAATTCCAATTGGGTTGCTACTTTTTACCCTTCGACCTTTAGCTATAGAAGTAAGATTAGTCCTGACTTTCAACTATAAGCAATTTACCTTACGTGAGAGGCGCACGTGCTGGGGTACACGTCCGTGCCAATCTTTAACGCCTTGTTAGCCCTCGTTCTGGTATCGAATTAATTAACAAGGTAAAACAGAGTCAACGACATAAAAACAGAAAGGTAACAAACAATATCTGAAACTAGGCGTCATGAACCTTCAATCCATTAGAAATAAGACATCTCAATTATGTCAGCATGTTGATTAAGCTGTCGATGTTGTTTCTGCTACGGAAAATTGGTTACATGAGGATGATACAGCTATCATCTCCGCATGTGAGCCTGATGTTTACAAGTTCAACAGTTCCCTACGGGTTAGTAGGATTGGTGGTAGTGTCAGTGTCCTTTCGAGGATCGCATCGTCCACGTATTAACGAATTTGATCATT